TTCAAGCCCACCCAGGGACGCTTTTTTTATTTCTTAATTGAGATAATTTAACTGTCGGAAAAGAAATTATATTTCAACTTTACATCGCATGAAAAATATATTAAAATGTCATATATATTTTTTTTAAAAGGTGTTTAGTAATCTATAGACTAAGTTACCGTACTTAAAGTATAACAGGCCTATCATAGATTTTATATTGTAAACTAGGCTATATAAATACAACAAAAACATTAATTAGGCCTATGTGTTGTACCACAAGCATTAATATATATTAAAACATTAATATTATTGGTTACATCATTGAGTTGTATAAATTTAACCCCATTAAAGTTAAAAAAAATTTTAAATTGTATATATAGGCCTATCATAGATTTTATATTGTAAACTAGGCTACAGTATATAATACAAGAAGAACATTAATTATGTGGTGTACCACAAGCATTAATAGGCCTATATTAATGTAATATGGCCAAAAACAGAATTATACATTTATGACATATATGCATAACACAGGCCTATATAAGTTCTTTTATTCATAATGTATAGAGTTTACTTATTTCCATTATTGATAAGGAAACGCTGGTGAAAGCAGGTACCTGTCAGAGTCTCTGTGGCGCAATCGGTTAGCGCGTTCGGCTGTTAACCGAAAGGTTGGTGGTTCAAGCCCACCCAGGGACGCGGTCTTTTTTTCTTTTTTCTTTTTTACAATTAAGATAAATTTACTGTCCGGAAGAAAATTACATTTGAAACTTTACATCGCATGAAAATAGTAAAAAATCAAACATATATAATAAAAACATGTTAGATGATTAATATAATTATAATTAAAATCCAGGGAATAATACCCTATACAACAAAAAACATTAATACTATTAATATAGCCTACACATATTACATTATTGAATTGCATGAATTTAACCCCATTCAATATTCTGAATTGAACATATGGAAATGGTACGGTACTGTATGAAGTTAATCTAATTTCATTGTCATATTGTTGATTATATTTTTACTAGGACTGAGCATTTTTTTTCTATTAAATTTCAGTCTTAAGTAACAGTTAAAGCCCCATTCCCGGCAAAATTTCAGTTTTTAAGAAAAATCTAATTTTTGTATAATGTTATAAAGATTTACAAATATAATACGGAATGGCTAGTTTAACTGAATTTAGACATTCCTAAGAATGAAAAAAAATGTGAAATAAGACTGAAATTTGATTTTTTTGTGTTCCACACAAAAAATAAATGCGGATGAATTTTTCATTTTGATTTTGCGATAGGTCGTGAGAAGAAATATCGTAGGCGCCCGAAACATTAGCCTATCCAGCGCTGCTATGCTAGGCCTAGCCTTACCTCGATTTAGGTTCTGTTATCACACATAAAAACGGCCGACATGATATTTTCCGTTGCTAGTATTGACACTAGTGAAATATAATATTTCATAACAATTATTTCAAATTTGTTAAAAAACTGATTCTGACTGAGATTTTGACACTTAAAGCCCCATTCCCGGCAAGATTTCACTAAAAACTGACTTTTTTTAGAAAATATTTATTTGCATTACTCCAATTATTATAAATCATGGAAAAATATTGGCATGAATTTTAGTTTTACGCAAAAGAANNATAAAAAAAATGAGAAATACAGACTATTTCTCATAAAATATTACCATTTTCTGGACGAATTCATCGTTACTAGGCAAATTCAGAGGTTGTAGATCGCATCCACTGGAATACTCTCGCTTTTATGTATACC